AATTCCCAGAAAAATTCCTAAAAATTATTTTAAGGCATTTCGATACACTTACTAAGCTCGATTCACAATTTTGAACGGCAGAGAGCTCGATTTCGAAACATCGAAAACTTTCACTTTCTCACCCCTCCACGCGCCGCTGACGACGGAGAAACGGAGATCACCGGTGGACTCGGAACGATGCAAGGAGCACGATGGTGCAGGAGGTGTCGAAAATGAATGACCGGATCATCGTGAATCGATGAAAAACCAACTGAAATCGAGTTAAAACAAACGATACTTCCAACATAAATTAACGAAGAACGACGACGATTCATAACGAAAGGTTTGAGGAGTTTTGTTCTTCGATCGATAACGAACACGATGGTGATTTCGGTTCGTCGATCGGAGTTCGGACGGCGAGTAGATCGGAGTTGAAAGGAGGGTTGAAGGGGGAGGAAAACTGAATTTTTTTCCCAGATAACATACGGGACTGAGGTTTATATTTTCTCCTAAAGAAAAATGGTCAAATCATGAGTTTAGTCACTTAATTTCCTGCACATATTAAAATAGACTGTCAACTTTACGATTTTACAATTTAATCCTCAATTTCTTCCAAAATATCAAATTGAATTTACCACTTTAAAATTCTTAAAATTTAGCCCCTAAATTTGGGTGTTACATGTAGAAAGGTATTATTTATATATAAATCATATGTTTTTAAATAATTTGTTACTAAAGTAATTTTATTTAGTTCGTATGATTCAAGTTTAAAAACAAATTAATCTTAAAATTAAAGAACAAAGTTAAGTGGATATAAAACGATAATCATTGTTATTCTTTTTAAGTCGGATGATTATTTTATAATTTTTTATAATTAGAAGACATAACAGAAAAAAACTTATAGTTAAAGGAGTAATTGTGTATTTTACAGAAAAACTATTATATATAAAAAATAAAATGTTGAAGGGCATTTACTAAATCGAGAGTTAACTTATAGACAAATCTTCTCATCATATTATAATATTAAATAAGATTTTACTAACGAACATCTTTAAAATATTTTTAAGTGATTAATATTATATTTATAATAATGAAAATTTAAAAATATAATAGGTGGTAATTTTATTCATAATCTCAATTGTATAAAAGTATTATTTATGTAATAAAGGTATTATTTATCCGGTGACCTCGCTAGTTTTTTTTCTCGGCAAAACAATTTTATTATTTTAATAAAATTACGACCAAATCGATTATATGTCTCATTAAAAACCTCTAAAAAGAAAAAAAATACATATAACCAAGTAAAATGGACAAGATAATCCACAGAAAAACAGCAGAACGACCCAAAGAAAATACACAATCAGGAAAGCATAGCCAACCAAAATAAACTGGCACTCACACTGCACTCAAAAGCCCTCCCCGATTGCAGCAGCATTAGAAACCCCAATAAGACAAAATAGAACACAAAAACAACAATACAGCTTAATAACGTGAACAACGATACCAGCTAGCCCCAAAAATCTCCAACTTGACAAGCGAGCAGAAGCGATATTCAGCAGCCCCTACCATGTAAAGCATACGTACCCTACCAATCTCTAACACTTACAGGAAGACAACTGAGACACACCAGCCCCTAACCTGATTACCACCACGCTTTAAAGATTGTAGCCCTCGAAGAACCATCAATATCCAGCCAATCAGCTAATGAATCACAAGACATCAAATCGCCTTTAAACTCAACCAACTTTAATCTGTTCATCGATCTCCCGAAAGATCGGCCACCATTTCACAGGACTGAAGAGAGGATTTCGAATCCAATGAAGCACAATAGGTGAATAAAATTCCACCAACAGTGACGTTGAACCTAACTACCCTGCTTCAACAAACAAATCCAAAGCCCATGTGATACCTGTGATGACTGCACCAACCGCCATAGAGTCCTTTATAGGACCCGAAAATATCGCCCTTAATTCGCTCGATGGTAAGCGAAGCACACCTCCACATCCACAACCACAACGCCCCACATGTGATTTACAAGTAACAGAGAACACAACCATGGTATTAAAATTTGACATCAAACTCAATGGACAGAGTGATTTCCGACAGGCAACCTCTTAGGTCTCTCCATTCCACCATACACTTTCATTAAAATGCAAGCTATCTTCAATAGCTTTCAAGCATATTAACGGAACGTAACTTGGAGGTAAATACCATATATTTCAACACGGTCCTTTTTCCGTTAAAAACCAATTCATTTCGGGAAAGAAAAATATACCAAAAGGCGGCTGCAATGGAAACAAGCCAAACACTCCAAGCTTACCAACAATATTTACTGAGAATACAAGCTTCATTAGATCCGAAATATTACTCAATTCAGCCCCATTAGCATTTCACTAATTTGAAATAGCTTTCCAGAATTGCACAATAAATGGATAGCACACAAATAGATGATCCAGCTCCTCTATTTCAGATTCACACCAACTACAAGAACAATCCATATCTTCCAAACCCAACCCTCAATACCTCAATGAGGCTTTTGTTGGGATTTTTTGTAATAATAACATCAACAAAAAATTCTTCACTTTAGGGGAAACTTTCAACTTCCAATAAACATGAAATTCGGATCCTTTATATTCGCATCAATAATAAGCTGTGAAAGTTTTTTCACCGAGAATCTTCCTCACTTATCACGCTTCTACTCGATCCTATCCTCTCTACCGTCAACTAGTATCGCCCCTGAGTAAGGTCTTTTAGATCACCCTAAGGGTGTGTTTGGTTTGGGGAATGTGAGATTCCCATGGGAATGAAATCCACATTCTCCTTTTGGTTAGCTGGGAATGTCATTCCTGATAATCTTACATTACTAATAGTGGATTTTTTGGGTATATTACCGGGAATGTCATTACCTCCCTTTTCTTAGGTATTGGATTACCGGCGTTTTGAACTAAAATGCCCTTAAATTTTTTTTCTTTCAAAAATATCCTTATTCTGTTATTCAATAATAAAAATTTACGAAGGTTAAATTATAAATTTATCCTTAAACTATTTTAGATTTACAAAAAAAAATCTATAATTAAAATTTTATATGAAGTTCAGGGGTTAAAATAAAATTTTACCTTTTCATTAAACTTTTTTATATTTTCAATTTTGTAAAAAAAATTATATAAATTTTATGAATTTAAATTTTTTTAAAGAAAATATATAAATATTTTCCAACTTGTTAAGAAAACAAATATATAATAAGGATAATTTGGTTAAATATACATTTCAATAATCTTTTAATTTTAACCAAACAAAGTAATCTTATTCCTGCTAAACCAACCAAACACAAAATACAACATTCTCAGTAATCTTATTCCTTGGTAATCTTTTATTCACACTGATAATCTTACATTCCGTAAACCAAAAACACCGTAAGATCTTTTAATCATTCACCTAAATCACTTCTCTATCAAGAAGCGTGCTCTAGAACAAACCTCCCCAATTTTCACCTTTCAACCCTTCGAACGAGACTTATCTCGCAACTACAGCTTTTTTATTGGCTGCCAATCTATACAACTTTGGAAATACGCATTTAAGAGGTCTTTCACCACACCATAAATCCACCCAAAACATGGTCATTCGAACATCTCCAAGAATCCACCGAAATGCATCATGTTTCATCCATCTACTTGCGCTATTTTCAACCAATTTTCACAATGCTACGCCATATAATTGACGTCTTCTTCAAATTCGTAGTCTTAATCATTTCATTATCGGGCGATATACCATATTTTGAAGCGATAACTCTCCTTCATAGGGCGTGTCTTTCTGTACCAAAGCGCCACCCCCATTTAGCCAATAACGCCTCATTTTTTGCTTTCAAATTTATAACACCCGCACCCCTTTTTTACGGGATAAGCACACCCTGCTCCGATCTACTCGAGTTTTATTCTTTATACCATCGAAGTTGCCCCATAAGTATCCCCTTCTAAGTCTTTCAATCCTTTGTATTACTGATTTTGGGATCTCAAATAACGACATATAATATAACGGATTGGCTGAAAGGACTGAGTTGACGAGTATTACCCTTCCAGCAAATGATAAAGTTATACACTTCCAACTGGCCAATTTCGAGCAGAATTTTTCAACTATCGGCTCCCACGATGCCACTCGACACAGATCAGCACCTAAGGGAATTCCAAGATAAGAAAATGGCGTTGAACCCACTTTGCACCCACAAAACATGGCCAGCTCCTCCACTTTTGCAGGCTCGATACCCACTCCAACAAGACAAGACTTTCTGAAGTTGATACTCAATCCGGATATATTCCTCTTCAAGTTGCGGATATATTCCTCTTCCGACTTCACAAAAATTATTGTATCGCCTGCAAATTGTAAGTGGAAAAAGGTCTGACTTTGGATAATATTATCAATCCCTTTAACCACTCCTCCAATATCTGCTTTAAAAATCAACAAATGTAACGCCTCTGGAACAATAATAAACAAAAACGGTGACAATGGGTCTACTTGCCGAAACCCCCTCCTCAATCTGAATTCTTTCGTTGGGGACCCATTCACAAGAATCGAAGCTCGAACCGAAGAAACACATTCCCATATCCACGATCTCCAAACTTTACCAAAGCCCATTTTCTCAAGTATCATTGACAAAAAGTTCCACCTAACACAATCATATGCCTCGGTGAAATCCAATTTTAATACCACACCACCCGTTTCATTGCCATCCGAAGCCATAGAATGAATGATTTCGTTGGCGATTAAAATCCCATCCATGATCTGTCGTCCTTGCAAGAAACCACATTGAGTATCACTAATTACTTTCTCTTAAACAACCCTCAGTCTCCTGGATAGCACCTTCGCGACAATTTTGTAAACTGAGCCAACTAGGCTAATTGGACTAAAATCGGCGACATCAACCGGATTTTCGATTTTTAGAATAAGAGTGATAAACGAAGAGTTAATACTTGGTGGAAGCTTACCGGACTTATGGAATTTCTTCAACAGATTCAACAAATCATCTTTCACAAACCCCAACACTCCTTAAAGAAATGCAAATTGAACCCATTCGGTCTGGGAGCTCTTGATCCATCGCATGCCCAAACCGTTTCCTTAATCTCGATCAAGGAAAACGGCTCCTTCGACATTCTCGCATCAGATTCTGAAATCATTTTAAATTTCATATTAAAAACACTTCTCCACCCTCTCCTCTTGCACCTGAAATATTTCCTAAAATGACCGAACAACACCCGCTTCAGATTCACCGGATCATGAACAAAGCCTTACTTGCCTTGAACTTTACCGATTTGTGAAAAATGTCGTATTAGAATCACCCAATGCCAACCATTTTACTCGCGACTTCTGCCTCCATAGATCTTCTTGCAACTTCAACGACTCCCACAATTCTAACTTGAAAGCTTGGAGATCGGCTTGCTTTCGGGGACCCAACTCGACTCTATTTCCTTCTTCTTCCAGAGCGTTAATCTTGTTTTGTAAATCTTCCACCTTATCATCAAAATTATTACACAAATCAACATTCCATCTTTTAAGAGCTCCTTTCAATTTCCTTAGTCTAGAGCTAATATCCATATTATTTCCCACGTTCACATTGAAAAACTCACAAACCAACTTTCTGCAATCTGGTTTCTTGAGGTAAGCATCGATAAATCTAAATGGCATAATCCCCCAATCAGCAACCCCTTTTGAGAAAAGCACCGATACGTGATCTGAAACTGATCTTTTTAAACCCCATTGCTCAACATTACCCATTAACATCATCCATTGTTCATCAACTAGAAATCTGTCTAAGCGACTTTTTTGTTGCACGACCCAAACCATGTGAATTTCTTTCCCTTCATCGACAAATCGGCTAGCTTACAATTAAAGATAAACTCATTGATTTCTCTACTTCCAGCAGTGAAATTAACTCAATAACTACATTCACTCCTATGTCAGACAACATTAAAATCCCCCCAACCAGCCACGTATTCGAATCTGCAAACCTCAATGACGATACTTCATTCCAAAGCTCTAATTGATCAGACACTATACACAACGCGTACACACAAACAATAGTAATTTTCGTACTTGTCAAAGCCCAAAGACCTTTCAAACTGATAAATCTAGGATTTGAAGTCGACTGTTATACATATGATATCATTTTTTTCCATATTACCGTGATATCCCCCTGACCTTCCCACAGAACTTGATACTTAAAAAATCAAAATCATCATCCATCCAAAACTTTTGAATATTCGCTCCATCCAACATTTCCTTTTGTCTCCTGCAGTAATTCCATTTCCACTATATTCTTCTTCAATAACATACGTAAAGCTAGCGACTTTGCATCCGCCCCTAATACTCTAAAATTCCACGTGAGAATCTTCTAAGGCGAAATCAATTATTATATAACAAGGCTTGTTCCTTCACCACCTCCAACTCCTTTCCAATTACTTGTATCTCGAGTCTTTTCCCCAGTGCCAGAGTTTTTACAACTTCGCTATTCACTGCCAACCATCTTCCTTTGAGATTAGAATCCGACAATGATCTTCCTGAAAGCTCTGAATATTCCAAATCTTGTATCTTCAATTTGTGTTTTTTGAGCGCTCTATCCCTTTTTCTTCTGTTTGAATCCGTTAAAACTTAATCCTGCAGTTCCAGAAGCGACCCATATCTTGTAGTTTTCTTGCTTTTCTCTGTATGAAATAATTCTGGGAATAGACCTTCTGAAACTGCCCCCACCCTTTCTTTGTTGCCAATCCCCGATTTCTTAGCGTGTAGAGTAATATCTACTGTAGATATCTTATTCAATAGATCATCACACTCTGACGCCCACGTTTTCTAGTCTTGAACTAGCCCCTTACTAGGCTCAACTATCAAAACTCCAAGGCACGTATCCCTAATGTCCTGAATAACCCTCAAGCTAGGTTGATTTATATTCTCATTTTCAGTAGACCCCATAGTCTTGTTTTTTTCTTTGAGCCCAACCGATCCATCAATCTCAATAGTTTGCCCAATAACCGTCTTTGAAGTCTCACTTGCCACCTCTTCTAATTCCTGCACGTGATGAATATCATCGTGTGCTATAGACATGATTATTCCCTTTCCTACATTGATCTCACCGCCTCTACTCATCGATTCTCTAATCCCATCATTCATGCATGTTCCCTACTCCTTCCCAATGTTTATTTCATTGAATGCTTCGTCCCCATGAGGAAAGGATCTTGTATCTTCAACTTGCTCCAACCACGAATTGTCATTAACGCTTATTTCCACCACCTTGGCTCCATATTTCATGCTTACGACCACTATGTCCACTACTTCCTCGACTCGTGATTCCAGTTTGGTCGTCACCAACAACGTGACTTTTTCACAGTCCAACTGGTAGTTTATGTTCTCTCCAAAGGCTTCAAGTTTCCCCCACAAACCTGTTACCGTTGACAAGTTGGTGCTATTCCAGAAATGGAAAGGCACTCATATAGCTTCAGACAGGTCGTCCTCTCCAAAGTCTTCACCTCTTTTGACCATAATCTAACCTCAGAAAAAATTTCTTTTAGATATGACCATTGAAGGTCCTCCATTAAAATAAAGAGATCTTCGTTCTCAATAGTAAGTAAAAACTTTTTTCTTCCAAGCCTAAGTAAGTAAAAAACTTTTTTCTTCCAAGCCTATCCACTTTGATTTCTCCCGGCCCCTACTCGTGGAGCCTTCTTTCATTATTACATACACTGCAGACTACGGCCATTTCGCCGATTAAGGATCTTCTCACCTTCCATAGGTTTGCATCTTCTACAAAACCTATAATATGCTCTTTCTTTTACAAGTAATCTCCTATAATCAGATTAGTGAGAATACGAAATAAAAGCGGAAAAATAATACCCGAAAATTGATAATGGAGTTCAGCCAATTGTGCTTACGTCTCCGAGCTGCTGCAGATCTTTTACTAAGAGAGAAAATTTACAGGTGTTTACAAAACACTTACTACCACTACAGCAAAACAGAGATTTAGCGGCGTTTTTTTAGTTCTATAGCGGCGTTTTTAAGCGCCGCTAAAAGCAATTGCGGCGATAGGAAAAACGCCGCAAAAAGCGCCGGCAATACCAGTGTCGCTAAAGTTAGTGGCGTTTGAGAACAAAACACGCCGCAATAGGTCAATATCTATAGCGGCGTTTTTGAAACAAACGCCGCAAAATGTGTCACATTTAGCGGCGTTTTTTGGAACAAATGCCGCAAAATGTCGAGATCTTTAGCGGCATTTTTTGAACAAACGCCGCAAAATGTGTCATATATAGCGGCGTTTTTTGAACAAACGCCGTAAAATGTGAGATCTATAGTGGCATTTTTTTGGAGCAAACGCCGCAAAAGGTCAGATTTATAGCGGCGTTTTTGGAACAAACGCCGCTAATTACCTTTATTTAGCTAAGATTAATTGATTTTGCATATTTTATTTCTGCTCTACATCACCTAAATTTAATAGCATGTAGCTTTATCTAATTAACAACACAAGTTATGCAGAAAAATACTTAACAACAAAATAGATTAAAATTTATAAACATTAAAATTAAATGTAATGTAATTTGACATTGTTCTCTATAATTTAGTCTAGGTGATACATACATCAAAAATTAATCCCCGGAAATTCCATCCACCACAAAATCTTGAAAACAAAAGTAGGAATGTAAAAATGAGTTCCATATCGTCTGGATTCATACTTGTGGCACTTCAGTCTTGGATCTCCTCATTTTACTATCTTCTCTACCGAACCTAATTGATGGACCAGAATTCAACTGAAGTAGAGTTAATTATCCAGTCTATTCAATCTTCACTTACTTGAGGAGCATTTTGCACAGACTGCAAAGTGAAATAAAGGACCAACAAAGAAAAATAAGCAGTGAAAAATAATCACAATCAACAAACCAACTCAAGAAAGATATGAACATCGAGTTTAAACATAGCTTAATGCAGGTGTTGTAAATGACAATTGAGATGACATTTTTCTACTAGGTGCACTCAGCAAAGCTTGCTGTCTCAAAACCTTATCCTCGGTTTCCATGTCTGAAATCTTGTCTTCTAACCAGTTAAAAGATATAGACGATTATTTGCATGGAAGATAAGCAGTTCAAGTTGAAGAATGAACAATCCAATTGACTTAACATTCTTACTAACTTAAACATCAAACATCTATTAGTACAGCACAAAATCAGGATAAAACCTTTGCATCGCAGTTTTTAAGTCAATTATCCTCATCTCAGCCTCTGTAGCCTGCTTTAGCCGCACTTCGCAAATCTGTTCTAGTGTAGCTACCTGAGCCTGAAATGGAAGTTTGGTAAAAAAAATTATTTCAAGACATAAATGAAAAATCACTAACTTTAAATGACATTTAACAAGCCTGTAGTCCAAGTAAGGTCCTTTATTCGGAAGTAACAAATATTTAACAATACCTTAAGCTGTTCATTTTCAGCAGTAAGTTTATTCATCGTTTCGTTGTTAACTACCGTGACCCCTTGAGTGACAGGAACTTGTCCAAAAGTTTTGTTTGTGCCCCAATTTTCCTTCTCACGTTGCAACTTCTGCAACTGCCATGTAAGTTCTTCAACTTGCTTTTCCAGTTGGCCTGTAGCAGGGATTCGGTTTTCTGGGCAGCCTGCCGACAATCATGGATAATCAATTGTAACAATTATGCACATACTTTCACCTCATGGATAAGCCTATGAGATCATCACATCAAACAGGTGAATACACTGGAAAACTGTACTGGAATCTCTTGATCATCCATAATGGAAGTTAGCAGTTTTAGTGAAGAAAAGAGTTAACTGAACCAACAGATAAGAAGAGAGAACATTTTTTTGGAACCAAAAGGTGGATTAACTAACTAACTAACTAATTATTTAGGGATCTATAAACTACATCCTATTCCTGCTACTATGGTGATTGAACCATCAGTTATTGAAATTTTCCTATTGATTGGACGTGGAGAATTAGGATTAAACTTTGAATGGTTATTTTCCTATCGATTACCAATTCAATTGACTGAACAAGGACTAAACCATGGATTTAATATCACATGGCAGTAGAGTACATTAGTCAAAACCACCATCTATTAAGAACTTGTTGAAGGAAATTGAGAACATGTGTATGCAAGACATCATGAGCTTAAACTAATTTAATAAAATGAAAAAAATGAGAAATCACCATTTTTAGTTTGCGTAATTCTCTACGCGCAAGTTTTGCTCTCCAAGCACATTGTGCGACGAGTGCAGCTCTCTTTAACCTTTTGTAATAACGGCTCACCAAGAATCGACGACCTTGACTCTGTCACGGACATGAAATCACATGGTATCAGTATGCTGATATAGCAAAAATAGCAACCAGACATCGCAAAAACACTTGTCATCAACATTATTTCTTTTGCTAAACCAACAAGCATCCACGTTTAATGCAAAACAACTCAGATAAAACTTCATCGAAGAGATGAAAATTCCTAAAAAGGAGTAAAATCATAAATAAAAGGAAAACAACTAACTCTATTAATATTCATTAATTGAAAGAAATACATATACCAACATATAATCCCTTTAGTCCTTACTCTTTCCATATTGAACATCCAACTTGGAACATTCCAGTGTAATAACCATACATTTGTTCACCAGATTTCATTCGCAATTGGTCATTCATGATAGCCGAATTCCAAGAGTTTCCTGAGCCTTGAACCTGCATGTGTTGCTTAATCACTTCACATGGAACATATACAAAAGAACCAAGTGTATCACCTGAAAATCAGAGAAATACAAGATAGAAATCAGATATCATTTGTGCATTTCAAGCAATATCAGATCATACAGAGAAGATGAAAAGTGGGGATAACAAAGTAAATTTTTGCAAAGGTGAAGCTACTAATATTGATAATGCGAATCAAAGTTTTCAGCAGGATGCTCCACTAGGGTTCTCCTTTCCTCTAAATACATCTTTTGTTTCACCTGCTGCTCCAACTGCTACAGGTTTCCTCAACCAAAAGTTTGTCCATCGAAGTTTCCCGATGTGGTTGTTGTTCATCAGCAGAAGAGATTCATTTCCCGTTTGCCGGTTTCATATGGAATACCACTCCCCTTTCTGTAGCAGTTTGGATCACCACAAGATGAAAGTTTAGAAACTTGGAGGTTAGCCCCTGGCATGCCTTTCCACCCATTTCTGCCTTTGCCTCCATGTCCCCCTGATAATAAAAACATTCAACCCACTTCTTCTTCTAAATCTATCGACACGAGTGCCGAAGTAAAAGAAGGGCAACAGGACAGTCGTCGACCAGTCACCAGTTATCCCGTTGAAAGCATTCCAAGCATAGTTGATGGAAACCACCCAGAGTCTGATATTTCAGGTACTAACATCCAACAGACATTCAAAAGAACAATAGAATCCTCGTATGATTTGGGTAAGATGTACTTCAGAAAACAAAAAAGAAAAGGACTGCCGTGGGATAAATCGGAAATCAACTGTTGCATAAATGTAGGACATGTAAACAATGAGCCCAGAAATTCATGTTATTTAGATGATATAAACCAGTAGAGTTGGAGTGAAGGTCGCAATGATATTTGTCTGTAATCATTGCCGACCCAAATCAACATTGCTTTATAGAAAAAAAAATTCTAAATTCTGTTAACTTAAATTTTCTTTCATATTAATTCTTTCATACATTTGATGTATTTCCCTCAATTCTTTGTTTCCTGTGTCTAAGTTCCAGTGGAAATGTGTAACCCTATTCGATTACCAACTTGTGAAGGTAATTAATTGCTGGTTCTAAGTTTCGAGCACGAGTCTCAGACCTCCTATGTTCTCACCAAACGTTGGTTCAAACCACAAATCACCTTCAGCGAAGAGTACTTCTATATACTATATTACTGAATTCCAACCCAAAACCAATACGACTATGCATACAAAATTTACAATAGCTCGACAGCTTTTCCATTTTAAATGACAAATAAAACTTAAAATATATTAAAAAACAACTAAACAACAGCTATAACAAAATTCATAAATGAACCCTAAAAGTCATAATAAAGCGTATGAGGAAAGTGAAATTCAAATCTGAAAACCCTAAAGTGTACGAGAGAGTGAGAGAAATGAAAACATTAGGGGAAAAAAATAAAAAACTAGGAGGAGAAGCCTGACCTGCAATAAAAAAGAAAGAGAATAGCAGACATTGAAATGACGGAGCTTGGAATTGCTGAAGAATTCATTGACTGTTTCTTCGATTGATTTTTGCTCAGATGACGATTTCAACAAGTTCAATATGTTACACTGTTCTTCGAAATTCAACATCTTATTCCCCAATCTTTTTTTTGCCTAAAATTTTCTAGCGATATTTAGGGTTTAGAGTAAAGAATCCTTTCCTGAGTGAGTTCCTATGGATGAGAATCCAATGAATTCAGATATGTTACTATTTATAATTTTTATATTTAATTAGCTATGAATAAGAACCCTTCAAATAAGAATTGAAGACTAATAAGACTCTGTTGGCTTTATTTATTTAGTAGCGTTTATATAAATACGCCACTAAAGTATAAGTATTTGGCGGCGTTTGTGGTTAAAACGCCACTAAAATATTAGTCTTTGGCGGTGTTTTAAGCAGAAACACCACTAAAGTACATTATTTAGCGGCGTTTGTGCTTAAAACGCCACTAAAATATAATATTTTAACAGCGTTTATATAAAAAATGCCACTAACGTACGAGTTTTAGCGGCGTTTGTACAAAAACGCCACTAAAGTTTAGTATTTAGCTGCGTTTATATAAAAACGCCACTAAAGTACAAGTATTTACCGGCGTTTATTCAAAAAACGCCACTAAAAATGCCGCTAACAACCCATTTTGTTGTAGTGTACTCACAAGAAAGCTCTCTAGTATAGGAAGAAAGAAATGTTTTTGGGATGATTTTGAAGCTAAATGAGCTAGGGTATTTATAGTTGAAGCTTAGGACTAATCTTGTAAATACCCTAAAGTGTGCAATGGCTAAAAAAGTAATTAACCCATTTACAAATTTAATTAAAAATTGGGGCACCGAACGGTGCCCCCCTTTGTTGAATTTCTGCCCACCCAATTTGAAAGTTTTGATTTCCAGGCGATGCCCACCTTTGTTGACTTCCAACAATCTCCCACTTGAAGACTGATTTTAATATGTCTTCACACCTTGATCAATGCAGCAGCTTTTCTAGTCCTGTTACTCTAGCATGCCAACTGAAGCTGAACACAACTTCAGTTTTTCCGTGGTCACCGTCTTTGTCAACATGTCTGCCGGATTTTGAGCTCCACTAATCTTTTCAAGTTTCAAAATCCCATCTTCCAGAAGAGACCGAATAAAATGATATCTCAATTGTATATGCTTCGTTCTGGAATGAAAAGACGGATTCTTTGCTAGATGGATAGCACTTTGACTGTCGCAATTCAAAACATTGTTTTCTTGTTTCTTGCCTAACTCTTCCAAGAAACTTTGGAGCCAAATCATCTCCTTGCTGGCTTCCGTAACAGCGACATATTCTGCTTCAGTTGTGGAGAGAGCAACTATCTTCTATAGTTGAGAAACCCAACTCACTGCAGTACCTCCTAGAGTATAGACATAACCTGTAGTGCTCCTTCTGATGTCAACATTTCCGGCTAAGTCAGTATCTACATAGCCTGTCAGTATCGTATCTCCATCTTTGAAACAAAGTGCTTTGTTTGTGGTACCCCGCAGATATCTGAGGATCCATTTGACTGCTTCCCAGTGTACCTTGCCTGGATTATTCATGTACCTGCTAACAGCTCCCACTGCATGAGCAATATCTGGTCTGGTACAAACCATGGCATACATCCAATTGTAGAGGTATACGGCACATTCACCATGTGTGCACGTTCTTCCTCCGTCTTTGGTGATTGGTCTTTGGAGAGTCTGAAATGAACACCTAAAGGTGTACTTACTGGTTTAGCATCTTGCATGTTGAACCTGGAGAGTACTTTGTTGATGTACTCAGCCTGTGATAACATCAAAGTCCCCGACTTTGTGTCTCTCTTGATCCTCATCCCAAGAATCTGCTTTGCAGCGCCCAGATCCTTCATAGCAAACTGCTTCGACAATTTGTGCTTCAAGTGTATAATCTCTTGCATGTTTGAGCCTGCAACGAGCATGTCATCAACGTACAACAATAAAATAATGAAGCTATTGTCGAACCTCTTGATATAGCAACAATGATATGTTTGGCATCTGGTAAAACAACTGCTACCCATGAAACTATCGAACTTCTTGTACCACTGTCTTGGAGCTTGTTTTAAACCATACAAACTCTTCTTCAACCTGCATACCAGGTTTTTCTTGCCTGCCTCTATGAAGCCTTCTGGCTGCCTCATATAGATTTCTTCCTCCAAATCACCATGAAGGAAAGATGTCTTTATATCTAACTGCTCAAGATGTAAATTCTCCGCAGCTACAATTTTCAACACCAGTCTGATTGTAGACAGTTTTACGACTGGAGAGAAAATTTCATTGTAGTCAATACCTTCTTTTTGCTGAAAACCTTTGACTATCAATCTTGCTTTGTAGCGTTTTCTCCCATCGTGCTCTTCTTTGATCCTATAAATCCACTTGTTATGGAGCGCTTTCTTGCCTGGTGGTAATTCAGCTAATTCCCACGTCTGATTTGACATAAGCGAGTCCATCTCATCTTTCATGGAAGACTCCTACTTGAATGAATCATTCACCTGTATCGCTTCATCATAGCACTCTGGTTCACCATTGTCAGTCAGCAACAAGTAGTGCAAAGAAGGCGAATACCGTTGGGTTGGTTTAGGAATTCTGGAGGAGCGTCTCAGTTCTGGTGTGCCTGGTTCTTCCTCTTGAACTGCTTCAGGACTGATCTGAACATCATTTCCAGAAATCTCCTCGAACTCAGCAAATTCCTTTGTTTCAGCTTCGGTACTACTTGATTCTGCGGTTGACTTGTCTTTGTACATCACATTTTTATTGAAAATGACGTCTCTGCTTCTGATGATTTTTCGATTTTCGTAGTCCCAAAACCGGTAACCGAACTCATCACCACCGTAACCAACAAAGACGCATTTGTTGGACTTAGCATCAAGTTTACTTCTTTCAGCAGAGTTTATGTGTACATAAGAAATACAACCAAACACTCTTAAGTGTGAAAGGTTTATTTCTTTCTTGCTCCAAGCTTCCTCTGGTATTCCGCCATCCAAAGGAACTGAGGGCCCACAGTTGATCAGGTAAGCTGCAGTGTTGATAGCTTCAGCCCATAGAAATTTGGGCAATCCGGCATGTATCCTTATGCTTCTGGCACGTTCATTCAGAGTTCTGTTCATGCGCTCTGCTACGCCATTCTGCTGCGGTGTTATGGGAACTGTTGTCTCCATCTTGATCCCATTGTTTACGCAGAAATCTCTGAATCTACTGTCTCTGTACTCTCCTCCATTGTCAGACCTCAACCGCTTGACTTTCAAACCAGTCTCATTTTCCACCATGGCCTTTCATTTTCTGAAGGTATCAAAGACTTCTGATTTCTTCTTCAGAAAATAAACTCACACCTTCCTTGTTGAATCATCGATGAAGGTGACATAAAATAGTGAGCCTGCAAGAGATGGAACCGGAGATGGTCCCCATACATCAGTATGAACCAATTCTAACCTTTTTGCCTTGGGAGTCTTGCCAATCTTTGTAAAGCTGACTTTCTTTTGTTTGCCAAAGATGCAATCCTCGCATAGTCCGACATCTACATTCTTTAGATCTGGCAGCTTCCCTTTTGACAAAAGGGTCTTCATCCCTTTCTCGCTCATATGGCCAAGCCTTTGGTGCCATAGGTTTGATTTTCCGTTAGCATCTGCTACTGTAATGATATTCTCTAAATTCGAGGTTACATAGAGAGTACCAGTCTTCTTACCACGAGCAATGACGAGTGCTCCTTTGGTAATCTTCCATTCACAGCCTGAAAAGGTTATACTATAACCTTCTCCATCAAGCTGTCCAACAGAAATCAGATTTCTTTTGAGGCCAGGAATATGTCTCACTCCTGTCAGCTTCCAGGTGGTCTGGTTTGGCAGCTTTAGTCGGATGTCTCCTTTTCTGACGATCTTCAAGGTTTCATCATCAGCAAGATGAACCTTCCCAAAATCACCACTGATATAGTTCTCCATGATTTCTTGGCATGGGGTGGAGTGGAAAGATGCCCCTGAATCCAAGATCCATGATTCAATCGGACTATTGACGCTTAGAATCATGGCATCACCTGTCTCCTCTGTCATGTTGGCAGATTCCTGTGCGCCGGTATTTTTCTTCGGTGCTCGGCAATCTCTTTTGAAGTGACCCTTCTTGCCGCAATTATAACATGTAAAATCTTTATTTCCTGTTCTTGATTTTCCCCTTCTGGATTTCGATCTGCCACGATTTGAATTTCTTTCTGAAGTTCTCCCTCTAGACTCAGTGTGCAAGGCTGAGGAGGTTGATGCTTCACCCGATTCTCTCCGTCGAATTTCTTCGCTCAATACCAGATCCCGAACATCGTCGAATTTCAATTTGCTGTTCCCCGACGAGCTGCTGACTGCTGTAACAGTAGCATTCCAACTGTCTGGTAGATATGATAAGAGAATTAAAGCTCGAACTTCATCATCGAACTCAATTTCCACTGATCTCAACTGGGTTGTGATTGTGTTGAGTTCATTTAGGTGTTGTGCCACCGATGCCCCTTCCACCATCCGCAAATTGAATAATCGCCTCATCAAATGAACTTTGTTTGAGGCCGATGGCTTCTCATACATACTGGAGAGAGCAGCCATAAGACCCGTCGTGGTCTTTTACTTTGCTATGTTGAAAGCAACATTGCGGGATAACGTCAGTCGGATAACTCCGAGGGCTTGTCTGTCGAGAAGAGCCCAGTCTTCATTCTTCATGCCCTCTGGTTGTTTTCCCTGAGAGGGGTTGATATAGATTTTTCTGGTACAGAAAATCTTCAATTTGCATCTTCCAAAATCCAAAGTCAGTACCATCGAACTTTTCAATTTTCACCTTCCCTTCGTCTGCAGCCATCGCTCCCACTCGAATCTGGCTTCGTTTGGATCGTTTCTGACAATTTCTGCGAACCGTCGTGTATTAGAACACCTCCGTCGACAAACTCGTATCGCCGACCGAATTTCACTATTCATGTGAATAGTAACCCGAATAGTAACCTCGCAAAAAATTGACAGAATTCACAACCAAAAAGCTCTGATGCCAGTTGTTAGGAAATAAACCGAGTACAAGTAATTTCCCTATAACCAGATTAGTGAGAATGCGAAATAAAAGCGAAAAAATAATACCCGAAAATTGATAACGAAGTTCAGCCAATTGTGCTTACGTCTCCGGGCTGCTGCAGATCTTT